TATCGGCGTCGCGGAAATGAAAAAATTAGGCAACGAGTGAACAGCTGCGAATAAATCACCAAAATTCGGCACCCAAATGTAGAAGTGAATTATGACTAGATTAAGTGCGATGACTATTTTTCAGACAACTTTGAGCATATTCTTTCCCTCCTTTCAGGCAAATTTAGGCCATTTGACTAGAGCTTTTGTTCAAAGTCTATGATCTAGGAGTATCACTCTTTTATGGAGTTTTGGAATTGTGAAGATGTTTAGAGTTTTGGTTTGACTTTTTCTTAGAAAATGGAAGCTTTTCTTTATCTTTTTATCTTTACTTCTTCTTTATATTCATATAAATAATGTTTATTCTTAATTATGTGTGCTTAAAACGCATAGTTTCTGAATATATTATGGGTAGTTGTTCTTTCTCTTGATTTGTGTCATTTATGCCATGAGATATGTGATTTAAGTTAAATAATTAGCTCTTTAATTTTGTGTTATAGGATACAATTTGAATGTAACCTTTGAATTGAATGTGTTAGGACCTTTATGAATGACTGGTTATCTCCATAGAGGTGTGAATTCAATTATTGAAACTCCTGTAATTTTACGGTAGATATAAGTAAACTAAAAGGGTGGACAGGAGATGTATTTGGTTTAATGTAATTGACTAAGGTCACCTAAGCGTATGGGTTAGTCATACTATTCTAGGGATTAGGCATAGAAACTAGAGAGAAAAAACATCATCTCTAAATGAAACACTTTTCAATGGTGATTTTGTGTAAATTAATGCTTGAGTCCAATGTTGAAATGTAAAAGGCATGCTTGTGTTGTGTAGTCGTTAATTACATGAGAAGTTGGAGCACTTGGACTTCAAATTGTAGTAGATCTACAACACGAAAGTGTAAAGTGTGAATCAATTGGCCTAAAATTGTCACCTCACTTCATCTAATAGTAGATGAGATCATATGAAAATTTCAATCATTGAATTCTAACAATTAGAAATAAAAGTTAGAGTGTAAAAGTCAATGGTTTCATATTTTTCAAAATCTTGTTCGCATAGTTAGGTTGAATGAATACAACCCTCATCACATCTTAAGAACACATTAATAATCTTGTTTGCTCTTCCTATTATCGTAGTCCCACTTTCCTTTCGTTATTTTCTTTCCCTTGCCACTTTATTTTTATCATTGTTCATTCGTTGCTTGTGTATTCAATATTTTGTGCTTGTGAAATCATCTCTTTCTCTCAACCTCCCACAATTTAGAACTGATTTAGAAAATTAATAGCGTAATCGTGGGATCGATCCTTACTTGTACGACACAACGACAGACTTACTCTTGAGTTTTGAGTGGTACAAACAAGGTTTTTATTTTTTATTTTTTTTTTTTTGAACATCTCATATACATCCCAAATGCACCACAACAATGTCACATTAAGTGATGCATAATAGATTTTAACCAAATATTAGGTGATGTAAGAAACAATTTCTAAGTCAAAAAAATTAATTAGAACAAATATAGTTGAAAATCTTTACTTTGTTAGATGTATAACGACTACCAATATAGTTAAAAATCTTTCCTTTGTTAGATGTATAATAGCTACATATATGAACAAATGTATGAGTACAAATAAGATGAATAAGAAGGCTACTAAAAAATCAGGTTTAACGGGATGAATTACTACATTATTGATGAGTGCAAAATTGATCCCCATTTTCCCGCAAGGTTATGATATCGCACCTTTAGTAGAAGCAAGGAGTGTCGATCCCACGAGGATGTGTTAGTTAACTATGCATTTCTAATGAATTTTTTTCTTAATGCAAAATAACCAAATGAATAAAACAGATTTTCAGATAAAGAAAACACCAACAATGAAGTGATTTTAATAAATAGGATTTTCAAAGTCGGAAAAGACATGGGTTCAGCGTCAATTTTCAATCCAGTTGTCAATTAGCTATTAAATCTATGGTGATAGAATATTAGACGATTCATTATAATGTCTCAAAATTTCTTCCAAAGTCAAAGAAACATCTTGACTACAAAAAGTGAAGAATAAAGCTTCTTATATAAATTTTTCGTTTTACACAATTTTCTTTAGATCAAAACTTCATCGACCGGAGTTCTCTGCGAAATTTCTTTGAGCAAATTTCAATGATTAGCAAAGTAGTCGAAACTCGTGTAAGAATAAGATTTGAAGGTGGTTATTGTCAAAATGGCAAAAATTTTGTGGTCAATGGTAACGGAAATTCTGTGGGAAATGATGCATAATGAGTTTTCATATTTTGAGAAAACAAAATTGCTATTTATGTTGTTTATTTAAAGCGCGAGTAGATAAATGGTGATATTTTTGTAATTAATTAAACTTTTGGAGACAGTGATAACACTTATAAGAAACTCTTAGGAACTTCTTGTAAGGAGTTCCGAGAAACTCTATGTATTAATTGGCGACTAGGTCGCGTTCCCAGGAATGGTGGATGCATTTATTTAAACTAATGTCAAAGAGATCTTTTTTGGATTGTTGTTAATAAATCTTTGACGATGTAAAATAAATAACATAAAATAACTAAATGAAAATACATCAAATTAACAAAATTCTAACTCAAATGACGGACAATTGAATTATTTCACTGACCACAGGTTCAAAAAGTATTCTTACAATCAAGCCTTCAACACCCAAATTCGTTATAATAGCCATAATGAATTCAGACTTTCCCTAAAATTATTGAGCGAACCCAACATTCAGCAAACTATTGAAATGGCAGATTGACTATGGTAGCATTCCTTGTCCAACCACAACAGTAATACACAATGGAAAACTGATTGAACCAAACAATGATACCATAGTGACAATTCATAGTAAAATGGAATAGTCTTTAATGAAAAGACAAAAAAAAATATAGAATACTCTCCCAATAACTACCAATAAAATAGGGAGTGATTATGTAATTATACTTGACACAACTACACTATTCCATTTCACTATATATTTTTACTATAAGTATATGTATAAATATATATATATATATTATCATTTTCCTAATGAAAATAATTACAATTAATTAATTTTGTCATATTAATTTCAGATTTAAACTACTATGTGCATCCATTGTCTCATTAATATACATAAAATGCCTAATTTCTACTTAGTACCATTCTTTTGTGTCTATTACGTAATATTCAACCAACAAATAGCATTCGGAAAGTTGAATTAAAAGTAAGAAAGATAAATTAGAAATAAAGTAAACAAACACCCCAAACCACACATACAAAAGAAGAAGAGAACATGGAAGGATAACTCAAATGAGGGCGACGAGCTGATTCGAGGACCCATAAAATTTTCCTACAAGGTCATAGATTCAATACTTTTATTTATTTTTAAATTTTAACTTTTGGTTCAAAGAGTAAGCAAATCATTGCATTTATTTCTCAGGAGAGTGCAGTTAATGAAAAGATATTGTGAATTATTGATCAAATCAAATCCAGATAGTAGCCAACTGGATCTAAAATATCAAAAGCCTTTTTGGGAAAAAAAAATCAATACGTCGTGCCCAACATTTTCATGTAAAAGTTGAGACGAAACAAATTAGATAAATGATCAAACTTTCTACAGTAAAATTTCCATAAATTAATCATCTATTAATTAATAATCTCTAGTAAATGATATTTTTCTCATGTCCCAACTGGAACTAGTACAAAAAAATGGAAAAACTTATTTTATTTATAAGATATAAATTTTCATGAATCTCTTAAGTGAATACAGGTCCCATAATTTAATAAATTATAAATACCTAAAATAATAAATTAAATTTAGAGATTAACTTAGGTTTTAACTTAAGTATTCTTGTTTCTGTTGGCAAGTATCATGTTTTTGTTCCATTAAAAAATTATAATTATCATATTTCTGTTCTATTAAAAAATTATAATGTTATGACTACGGCTGCAATGGACTTTTCTTGATGCAAATATAACAAATTTTTATTTTTTTCTTTTTTAAAGGATTGAAAAACCTCTTTAAATTAATAAATATTTTAATGTATCGATAAATTAATAATTCTATAAATTAATAAATTTTTTGAGGCCCAAGTGTATTAATTTTTAGACCTTTTACTGTAGTACCTTTATTATGTGTAATACCGATTATATATTAGATTAGAAAAAAATCATCAATCAATTGTGGAAAAACAATAGGTCAAACAATACACAATTTATAATACTTAAAACACATCCTATACTTATTTCTTAGACTAGTGTGGTACTGAAACTTATAAAAAAGTGTTTGAAGAAATTTTATGAGCAAAAACATCGCTTTTTAATGGCCATGGTAACAGTTGTATCCCGAAAAAGTGAAACAATGTTTAAACCAAAATTACTGCCATAAGCATATTATTTCACTTGATAATGTACATTTATTTCACTGGTCCGATCTTCTTTTTGTTATTAGATTTTTTTGTTCTCATAATCTACTTGGCTAAATTTTTAATGTTGTAAGTTTGTTCTATGTAATTAGCTAGACTGGATCTGATTTCTATGCGAGATTACTATATTTCAAATTATTGATTGTTGTAGTTACCACGTTTGTGATTGTAACTTTTTTGGGGTAACTATTCGATTCGAGTACCTTTCTTTATATATACATGTATATGATTATCCGCCGTGTCGAAGAAAAAAAATTAGTATTATCAGTTTTCTCAAACCGAATAGATTAAATTTTGATCTTTTCTACGTAGAAAAAAATGACTATCACTGTAAACATACACATTTTCCGTCCCGAAATTACTTTTTAGTTTAATTTTTAATTTTACTAGAATTAAACTAAAAATAAAAAAATTAAATTGGAGAATAATTTTTGGACATATAGAGTATATACGATAGCCAATACTTGACAAAATTTGCAGAACAAAAGAGAGAAGGCTAAACCAAAATTTAACTCAGCACTCAAAAACGCTACAATATTTTGACATTACGTTCGCAACAATTTGACAACTAAGTTAAATATTAAGGGCATATAATCCTATACCAGAGGGGAAACAATTTTAAAAAATAAAATGAAAATCTTATGAATTTTTGTTCCTGGGAAAAAGGATAATCAGAAACTATGGCTTATGCATTTTCTTGATAATTTTTGCTTGTTGAAACACCATTCCTCGTCTCCTCTCCATTCTCAAAATTTAAAAGGGTGTGGATATCTTCGGCTATCATCATAGCATCTTTTGATAAACCAAATAAACCAGAACTTGAAAATCCTGCACAATAAATTCCATCTTCACCCTTCCAGTGATCTGGTTTCTTCTTCTTCGGCATCCCGAATTCATTGAACAATCTCCCTTCATCCTTCAAAATTAAACATTTAAGCCAAATAATTGTTAAAAAAATGGTAACACTACTTCCAATAAAGGATGTAAAAAATTTTTTTTTGTTTCCCTCTGTATAAAATCAATATCTAAATTATTTTCCTTTATATACTCAAGATTGAATCATACCAGCAAGTCAAAAAAAAAAAAAATACACTCTCTCTTTGTCTCAAAATTATTATCCAGTTTGGACTTTTACTTTTAGTACAATTTGAATTAAAACTCAAAATATAAATTGGATAATAATTTCGGGACGAATAGACTATTATAATATACCTTCAACCATCTTCGTACTGTACTCCTATAGCCAGTAGCAAAGACAATGGCTTCAAACTTCTTCCTCGTACCATTAACAAATTCAACATTATGCCCATCTATCTGTTTTATACCTGGGAAAACCTGAATGACAGAAAAACAAAATAAAAAATTAACTAAAATAAATTAATGAGAGATCTCTATTTGGGAAGAAATCTTAAGGAGCAAATTAAATAATAATCGACTAGAATAGTTAAAATCAACCTTAATTTCTTCGTTTTTAATTTTGTGAATTGTCCCAACATCAATCACAGGTGATCGGCCTGTTAAACTCTTCATTAAAAAAGGTCCTTTGCTTGGTGTTTGAATCCCATAATTATTAAGATCTCCATACCACATTTTGCTAAGCTTGGCAACGATGTAGTCCACAAGCCAAACAGGAAACATCTTTAATAAATTCATTCCCAATTGCACCATTTCCTTCGTTAGAATATGTACCTGAGAATGAGATCAAATAGAAATTTACTCCCTCCGTCCCATAATTATTGTCCACTTTGCCCAAAAAATTTTGTCCCAAAATTATTGTCCAATTTGACTTTTTATGGATTAAGTTACACATTTGTCCTAAATAAAAAATATTATCCATAAAATCTTTGTGGTTAAACAATTACTTATGTAGGAGTATATCCGATTGTTCAAGGTAAAATATAGTTAAGTTTGACTAAAAATAAAATTTTTCATTTTAGTAAAACTGGACAATAATTATGGGACGGAGGGAGTATATTATTTCAATACAAGTAAATAGTTCATTTGATGAAGTAGATAAAAATAAATTGCATTCCACAAAAGCCAAAAAGGTATTTGAGTCTATCTATTCATTGTGTCATATCAGTCACAAATCATTTTCACTGAATCGAAAATCGTCTTCATATTAATATTCAATTTTAATATTAATAAAAAGATTATTTCAGTAGAGAAAACTTTTTACCGAATTACGAATGATAATTGACGTTTGAGCTCCCCAATCGGCTAAATCATAAGCAATCTCCATCCCTGAATTCCCACATCCAACGACCAAGACATTTTTATCGGAAAAATTTTGGCCATTTTTATAATTGCTAGAATGCAATGTGACTCCAGCAAAGGAATCAAGGCCACAGATTTGAGGTATAAATTCTACACTGTTCTCTCCAGTCGCAACAACAAGAAACCGAGAAACGTAAGTTTCTGTTGAGCCATTGAGAGTGTTTTTGGCCTCAACAAGCCATGAATTAGATGAAACGTCAAATGTGGCTGACTGCACAATCCTATAACATAGAAGACTTATACAAAAATTGAATGCGTAATAATCCAAATAGTCAATAAAATCGTTTTTTGGGACAAAAGTCGGTCCATCGGAAGGAAATGGTAAGTGAGGAAGTTGGCAAAATTCTTTTGCCAAGTGAAGTTTAAGACGATCATAAGCCCTTTTCTTCCACGAGGAAGCGCAACAATCTTCTCTTTCGAGAACAATGTTGTCGATTCCTTGCAGATTCAGGCAGGTTGAAGTAGCTAGGCCAGAAGGGCCAGCTCCAATGATCAAAACTTTGGTCTTTTGTTCCATTTTTGAGTGCCTATAAATTTGTTGATAAAAATAGCTGGAAAAGAGAATTGAGAATTGAGAAAGAATGACTCTATGGCATTTCTTGCATCAATAAGCTGGGTGGTTTATATAGGCATATTTGAAGTGTATTACCATGAATTGAAAATTTCCTTACTGGACACTAACCAGGTGAAAATTGTCTAGCCATTTTTTTTGTAATCATTATTTAGGTAACGCATTAATCATTATTTTTCTGTAATCATTTTTTTGTAACCATAACTTCTCAAAATAAAGGTTATTTATTAAATTCTAATCATTTGGTAGAGAAAATTGATCAAATTATTTTAAGGAACAAAAAATATTTTAAATAAAATTGATCAAATTATTTTAAGGAACAAAAAAAAATTTAAATAAAATTGATCAAATTATTTTAAGGAACAAAATAAAATTAAATAAAATTGATCAAAGGCGTACGCACCAATATTTATGAGGTTTTTGGTCATTTAATTTTTCCCAAACTTTGTTTCACTAATCTATTACTCTGAAACGTTGTCATAGTAATCTAAAGTACACAAATTGAAGTTTACTTTTCTTTATAACAAGTTGGAAGAATATAATTAGAATATTCCTATTCACCTAAATTGTTCCATTTCTACTCACTAATTATCATTATTTAGAAGAAAACAAGATAATTATGAAGTACTTTTTTTGTGCAATAATACCTCAAGCATTTTTTTTCAATTAATGCAAATTGAAAATTCTAAGAATAAAAATTATAATTATAAATTTTATTCCTTGATTAAATTATTCACATGATTAGGTAACGCATTTAAGCTTAGTTGCTATGAGACAATCGACGACAACATTGGTGCTGCCGTTCAACTATTTAGAAAATTAAATCTCTCCGATAATATATATATATATATATATGCAATTATAATTTGTTTAGCTTGGAAATGAGTGAGACTAATCAAACATGCATAACAAACACTTATTAACACAAGAATCATAAATTTATACGATAATTTAATGAAGATCTTAAAGCGAAACAGTTCAATGAATATACATTTTTAAAGACGGTATTAGAATCTATACATGGGACTTATAGTTTTGCTGATCTCTTTTTGCGAGACAGAATTTTCTTAACTAATATTATGTTAAGGTTTATTTTGTCCAAGTCCATCCTCTTTACGGTTAATAATCATTAGAGCTAACAGAAGATGGAACAAATCCCTTCATATGGAAAACCAATTAGAGTCATTTATATTGGTATGATCTCCTTGCATGAACCGCGGCGCGGCGTACATTTATTTAATTATATTTTCTGAAGTGATTATAAGAAACTTTGATTACAAGTTTCAAATTACAGTGAACTTCTACAGTTCTACCACTGGCCCCGAATTTACATCGAGTTTCGTACAATTTTGAGTAATTAACGTTGGAGTAAATTGCTTTCAATGTACATTTGTAAAAAAAATAAAATTACTGACAACTCTACTACTGTATTATATGTGTCGTTTTAAGTCCAGCAAAATTTTTGATAGATTCCACAAATGGTTGAAAATAAGAATGAGACTAATTTAAATTGGATTCCCAAAAGGAAATTTATTATTATTATTATTTTTGGATACAATAAGAGAGTCTGTAACCTAGTTACAAGAGATTAAGACTTATCATGGATATGACACCCCGATAAGGTTATGTTGAAGCCATTTCCGTACCTCTACCGGCAAAAGCGGTAGCCTTTGAAAGCCCCCGAACTCCGTGCAGCCACTGCAATCAAACAATCAACCACAAAATTAGACTCTCTGTATACATGAACTAAATGTACATTCCATTGCCTGTTCAGGAGTTGCTGAATGCTACGAACTAAAGCTATATGGATTCCTGTATCCGCATCTTCTTCTCGAACCAACAAAACCACACTCAAACAGATAGATTCAGCTATCGCATTACGGTATCCCAGCTCCCAGATCAAATTGGATCCTTGATAAAGACCTCATAATTCCGAATTTTGACGTCATTTGGACATAGCGAATAATATACTCCATTTATTTCATAAAATAATACACATTCCTAATTATAAACTAGGTTTTTGACCCGTGCATATGCACGGATATACTTAGACTAATCTCTATTGTTTCTATTTAAACAAAGATAATAGGAAAAATGAACAAAAAAAAAAAGGCGAGAGTGTAATGTTATTTTTATATGAAAGAAAATCTGTGGTCATGTAAATAAAGATGAATGGATGAATACATTATCATAAAATTAATTTACTTATATTCTAACTATACTTGTCAAATACAAATTATAAATCCCAATCAAATGGAAAAAAATAAAGAAAAAAAACCAATAAAATAAGAATAGATTAAGAGGTAAAAATTTCATGTACTTCTTCAGTTCTATTGAAAATAAGTATCCTTTTATATCTGATGTGAGAAATTTGTAATCCATATAGTTTTAGATCCCTTCAATTCGGACTTCGGATGCGTCTTGTATAGGCATGTCAATGCTTCCACTGATAAGAGAATAACTCTCATTTCAAACTGCATTGCTTTGCAACTACCATGGGACCCTAGACTCAAACAATACTTTCTTCTTCTTTTTTATACGGCCAAATCAAACAAACACCTTCAACACAAAAGCTCCTTCAACAATGAATGAATGAACATCAATCACCCCCAAGATATAGAGATCGTGGATCGAAAGATATATATCAACCACAATCATCAAAGTTTACTATTGGATGATAAACGAAACGAAAGGCACGAAACTAAAAGGAATTGTCCAAATGGTGAACAACTCAAAAACAAAATTTTACGAATACCCTTTTTTGGAAGAGGTAAATTCGAAAATAAGAAAGAAAAAGAAATCCGAATTTTAAGACCAACTATGGTGTAAACCAAAATTGGCTATTGATATACCAAAATATGTATGCCAACTATGGTGGTAAAACCACAAGAAGGCTCTGGTAACCAAATATGATAGCAATCCGTGACAAAACCAATCTTAATGAAAGATCAACTTTGCTAATTCGGAAAGTCAAAGATTTGTAGACAGCAGAATTTGGAGAATCCGGATGTAATGACATAAAAACACACGAAAAACAAACAAAAGAAAAGATATTTGACCTCACGTGGATCAATTCACGAGTTCAATGGTAGAAAAGCCCAAATCAAGAATGAAGAGAGCTATTTCTAGCCAAGCAGAGACCCCTCGGAAAATTGTGTAGGAAAACCCAATAGACGTGAGATCTATGAGCTTAAGAACCAAAATTCAAAAGATGCAATGCTAAAGACGCCACTATCAAGTGAACTAAACAAGACAGATAAGTCTAATAATTGTCACAACACATATGCAACAAGTAAACAAAAAAGTCCTCACAAGAACTCCACGAAAGGAATAAAATCCTAACCAATTTGATTTCACTCAGAAAATATCAATGACACCATGTGTGTTGGACAAGAGAAATCCGGTCCCTACTTATAGAGGGGGTGGCCAAATTTTCTTCCTAAGAAGTAGAGGAAGAACACTACTTTTCAACTCTATTCCTATCTCTAAGAATTTGAAATCAAATCAAACTCTAAAGACTCTTAGTTATCTTAAGTGATAAGATAACGAACCTAGACACTTTTAATAGTATTAAGACATTTAAGACTATGTAGGAAATAATCAAAATTCAAAATACAAAGAGATAATCTCATAAAAAGATTCGTATGGATAGAATCTCTATTGAGTAAAACTCTATCATCATCTTCTTTGTAGACTGATCTTAGACATCCATCTTGATGTAGTCTTCATCCAACGGTTGAGTAAAAATCAATAAGTTGACTCCTTATTGTAATGAAACTCGAAAACAATAAGATAAAAAAGAATCATCCCAAATATTATCCTTTAAAGAGATAAAGTCTTATCTTTCAAAGAGATAAAATTTCAATAATCTCATCCCTAAACTTTAGGGATCCATTCGACCTCCATAAGGAGCATGGTCGGCGGTCTCTCCTTGGATTGAGGGCCGAAATTCCTTCTCTCCAAATGGGCCAAGTCCATTTGGTGTCACTTACAACAAATTAATAGTCTTGGGTTTGTAATCTTCAAGCTTAATTTCTTCCTTAACCCATGTAGTAACAATTAGACTATGAAGTGATTCATCCATCCTCTTGCGTCTAGCACGAGTCATTGGTCCAACAATGTTTGAGAGTGGATCACGGATGTAAGGATTATCCTTTAAAGCATCATCTTTAGATCCTACATTAGCATTCACGACCTCAACTTGCTCATCCTCTCCAGTATTGGCAGCAACATGTCCCTCTCCATTAGTGTTAGCTCGATGGTCTCCATCATCCTCTCCTTCTTTAAGCGAATTTCTTCTCGAATTCAAACTTTCATGAAAATCAAAAGGAGATAGGTTAGAAACATTAAATGTAGTACTAACACCATACTCACCTGGTAGCGCGAGTTTATAGACATTGTCGTTTGACTCTTGACACTACTTGAAAAGGTCCATCTCCGCGAGGATGTAACTTCGATTTCCTACAGTTTAGAAACCTCTCTTTTCTTATATGTACCCAAACCCACTCACCTGGTTCAAATACAACTTTTTTACGACCACGATTCGCCGACTTTACATATTGTTGAGTCCTACGCTCAATATTGAGGCGAACTTTCTCATGAAGTCTCTTGATTGTCTCAGCTTTTTTAACTCCATCCAAACTAACTTGATCCTTCAATGATAAAGGTGATAAATCTAAAGGAGTTAATGGATTAAAACCATAGACAACTTCAAAAGGTAAAAACTGAGTAGAAGAGTAAACAGTTCTATTATAAGCAAATTCAGCAATAGGTAAGCACTCTTCCCATTTCTTCAAATTACTCTTGATGATCGCTCTTAGGACAGCTCCTAAATTACGATTCGTCACTTCAGTTTGACCATCAGGTTGTGGATGACTAGTTGTGCTAAATAACAACTTATCACCAAACTTTCCCCACAACGATTTCCAAAAGTACCTAAGGAACTT